CAATATGCTCATGAGCAAGAAATATTTTGGCTTTTCTTATTATGTGTGGTTTCTACAAAGTTGCCACCTTAAACTATCCAATTAAGGCACACCTCCAAATTTTATCATAACATATATTTTTGGTGTAAAACATTCTTAGGATTGTTTGAAAATCTATTTCCATATCTAATTATAAAATTTTAAACTCAAAAAATGATTAAAATCAAGTAGATCTATAAACATATGAAAATATTGAAATTGGTCGGTCTAGATAATGTATTGCAAGATGCATTATTTTTGGGACTCAAAAATATTTTTTTTATATATATTCATACATCTCGATGTTGAGATGATAAATTAGAGGATTTTTTAACATTAAAACAACATTTTCTGATTGATTTTTGATGTCCATCTTTAATTTTACATTTCAAGGCTGCAAATATTATATAAACTTTTTTGTTTGTTATTATACCACCTGCTAATGTTTACTTTGAGGTCTACTGACAAAAATAGTAGAAGTTCCTATGTGCAAAACCTTTAACCTAGGGAGTTCACATAATTTCCCTAAAAATAAGAGGAATAAATCCTGAACCTTAACAAAATTGAAAACAAAGCATATTCCGCTTAAACTTCAAGCCCAAATCATGAGTTAAATGTCAAACTCTAGGTTATGAGCATTGATCTACTAAAACCAGAGAAGATAATAGTGCAAGGGAAAAAGAAAAGGAAATATACTAAGTGCATATTTTTTCCTGCTGATTTCTGAAATATTTATTTGGGTCCGGACCGATATACTTAAGCCAGGCTAGGCCCGGCCCATCTCATACCAAAAAAAAAAGCCCAACTCACACCAAAAAAAAAAAAGAAAAACTTAATTTTGACATATGATTCTAACCCTTTTTGAGTTTTGGATTATATCGGAATTTGCATGCACAGTTAATCACGGCCAATATTGTTCATTGAACAGAGGGGAAACCTTGGAACCTTGGGGCATCAGTGGTTAGGGGGGTTGATGCTTCCCATAATGTCCCACCCTCCATTACCAAATAAAAAAAAAGATAAAGGAAAAAAAAAAAAGCAAGATGAAATTGCTTATTTTGACACCCTTATGTCGGCTTGTGTAATAGATGGGGTTTAGGCACATGCACCAGTGCATCTATTTTCGAAAGTTTGAAAATTCATGTTAGAGATAGATTTTGGATATAAAACTATATGAGTCGACGATTTCGACGATCACAATCATAAATCTAGAAAAAAAGAGATTTAGTAAAGGGTGTGTTTGATAACACTAAATTTTAGAAGTTGGAGTGGATCATCTCACTTCCACATTTGAAATCAAGAAGATCATGGAAGTACAGCATTCCATGCCCTTCCATGAGTTTTGTTTTGGAAGGTCGCCCTTGTCGCCCTTCCATCAGAAATGATAGAAGGGCTATCTGACTCCCATAAAAATGGGAGACTTCATTCCTTTCCCATAATTCGCTGGCATCAAACACGCCCTAAAAGTATGCTATTTAAATTTTTTTTTACGGATTGTTGATCATAGTTTATTTTAATTATTCAAAAATCATGAGATATGTACCAAGTTTTGAGCTACAAACACATGGATCAAAAGTGGAGATGCTAAAATGTTTTAAATTGTGAGCCTATAGACTTCAGAAAATGTTTTAAATTATGAGCCTATCTCTAAGATGGATATTTCAAAGGGATCTTCATTTGAATAAGACTTCATTTTATTTTTGACCTTTGTGGCTTGATGATCCACTAAATTAGTTTAAGTACAAGATTAGTGCTATAATATTCCACTTACACCCTTAGCCGATTTATGGTCTTCATGAACTACTTAACCAAAGTGGATGTCTGCAACACTGTCTTAACCATGGGGATGTTCGATCTTCTAAGATAACCATGGGGAAGCTCAAACTCGTTGATTTAACGACGATAAGACTTCGTTACTCGTGGATTCCACTAAATTGTCTGTCAATTTGGGGATATGATGGTCAACTTCGTCAATAGGCAGTAAAATGGGAGATAGTAGACTTAGGTGGGCTGATATATATGTAGTGCAGATCCAGTACAATATTGGTTAGGAGTTGTGGGTTAGTTCAAGTGGAAGACTCAAAAAATCAAAGAGTGGGCCTAAAAAGATATGGTTGGAAGTACTGAGATATTGGGACTTATGACTATACTGAGGGTAGTCAACTCCAATTAATTAGAAAAAAAGCTACGATGATGATTTTGATCAACTTCAATTAGACTGGGTGTCTAGAAGGTTCAACCTTCATGCAATAACAATTGGAACTGAAAATCCTCAAATAACCACAGTGATAGATTGCCTCTCGGTTGTGACAAAGGAACTTCTAAAAAACAACATGAAATTTTCTGGTCACAATCTAATGTCCAAATAATAAAGTCTTAATAGAGGTGAAAATAGAGTCCTAATACCTCATGAAACATTACTCAGACAGGGGTGGCAATGGACTCGGACTTGACCAGGGATCTGACGGGTAGACCCGATATGGGTATGGGTCCAAAAATTGGACCCAACGAGTACAGGTCCAATTTTTGGACCCGACTGGTGTGGGTGTCCGATAATATTTATTGAGTTCCAATATATAAAATATAGTTAAATACATAGATAATTTAGTTTTTGGGTCGGGTCAGATCGGGTCCTGTCAGATCCTGGTCCCAAACTATAGTTTCGGGTCCCAGTCCGGGTCTGGTCCCGTATAATTTTTTCATGTCCGGAAACCCTCAGCTCGATCCGACCTGACCCAACCCGACCAGTTGCCACCTCTATACTCAGATGTGAAAATATAGCGTCTCAACCACATGGAAACCACTCAAGAGATGATCACCACTCAACACACACCAGCCAAATCATCCAATCAATCAATGTGAGGGTTGCACATAGTTTTGATATGCAAAATGACAATTCACAGGGAACGCAACTCCACTTCCAAAATCTTTTGGCTATGCAGCATTGAACCAATAGACATGAGATGATCTTGCTATCTTCTAAGCATCACATGAGCCCTAAACAAGAGCTCTCCACGATCCAATCCTCATGAAATACTCGTTGAAATACTTTCATTGATGGATCACCAAAGGAAAAAGTTTATACAAGGTTGCAACCTTAGAATGTAGAATCACAGATGCACCTCAAAAATCCATTGAAAAATGTTGTTTTAATGTTTTAAAACCCTCTAATTGATCATCTCGATATCGAGATGTATGAATATGAAAAAAGTAATATTTTGAATCCCAAAAATAGTGCATCTTGCAACACATTATGTAGACTGTTCATTTTCAATATTTTCGTAAGTTCATAGATCTATTTGATTTCAACCCTTTTTGGAGTTTAAGTTTTTTTTAATAAGATATCAAAATAGATTTCCAGATAATCTTAATATTTTTTTTATATCAAAATTACATTTTGTTATGATAAAACTTAGAGGTGCATCTTAATTGGATTGTTTAAAGATGACACCTTATAGAAACTACACCCTTACCTAAAAGGCTGTCAGAGACTACAAAAATCTATATCAACCTGCCTTTTGGCCAAAATTACCAGATATTTGTTAACAACATTTTTTAGGCGATTTGGTTGAAGTGGAAGGCTTTAAAATGGGAGGAAAAAAGCCTAAAAGACAAAGATGAAATTAGTGAGAAGAGATACATATGGTCAATTGTCTACTGTCGGTATAATTATTGGTAGAGCATAAAAACATAACATGAATTGTGTAGATGACCTTGAATAACTGGGACAACAAGACTCCGATAATGATGATGTTAATAACATTTTCTAAAAAAAAGAGTTAAAATAAAACATAGGACTTAACGAGAAAAGTAAAATTACCTTTGGAAGCCCTCAATTTCATCAACCATCATGGATGCGAAAAGAAATGAAAAGAGAGGTGAAAACCCTAAAAACAATATATCAATTAACATTTTATTTGGACTATCTATTTTCAATCGATCACATATGTGCGAGATCCATACCATTTTTGAAGCTTTCAAGTAAAAATAGATTTTCAAGCCATTATGGTATTTTAGTAAATAAAAAATGCATCTTTAGATGAAATGCTAAAACAAAAATCCGTCGCACACTGAATAATAGGGTTGGCAATGGATCGGGCAGCCCCGACCCTAAAAAGTATGGGTTTGGGCCACAAAATGAGGTGTGAGGGTCGAGCCGGGCTAGGGTTAGGCTAGGGCATCGATAGGGCCGGCCCAATTTGACCCACTTGGCCAAACCCATCACTCCTTTTAGTTTTTTTTTTATTTTTAAAAAATTATATTTATCTTGCATGGATGGGCTAGGGTGGGGTTTGAGCCAGCCCAATAGGGAACAAAGCCAAGGCAGGCTTGGCCAAACCCGGGCTGTCGCCAACCCTACTCAATGTCACTCAGTTGTCTCTCTAAGTTACCAGCATTTTCGGACGACGTTTTCACCCGATTTCCCCACGTACATAAAAATGCGGGCTTCTCACTAAATCTATTTTTGAGATGGATTTCAAAACTTAATTTTTAAAGACATGTAATCTCCAAGATAGAGATTATGAATATAAAATAAATAAATAAATTTTAAAAATTAAAAATAATAATTCTAGTAACAAAGCCCATTAGTTTTCATTGTTTTTAGAAATGCGGTGCAGCCGGCATGAGAATTTTCCATGAAAACATCTCTCTCTAACACTCGAAATCAGTGTGCAGGCAGTCTCTCTCTGTGTTAACACCGTTAAGTAACCGAAACCCCTGTCAACTCAACAAAGCGCTCTCTCTCTCTCTCTCTCTCTAAAAGTCCAATCTCTTCTCTCTCTCTCTCTAAAATGGATCCTCTCTCATCTTTTATATTTTGCTGACCTTACATTCAAAGAAACTCTGCAACAGGAAGCGAGGTCGAAAAGGACCTTGGAGTCTTATAACGGGGCTTCATATATAAGGGG